CAACGCCAATATTTGAAAAGTTTATATGAACATTGTACCTCCCTTTTAATTTCGCCGGCAGTAAACTATAACTTAAATTCGGGCACGGACTCCACTGTAAAGTGCTCATTAAACATTTTCTTTACTATCACTGTGAAAAAGTGTAAATTTTCAAAAAAAACATTTTGATTTATAACCTTTATAATTGTGTTTATAAAATGTAAAAAATTGACATTTGACGGTGACACACAGATTCCCCTATTGTTTCATAGATGGCACTCTATACGAATTTTTGATTTAAATCATTTTAAGATAATAATAAGTATTAGTCGTAGAAAAAGTATAGTATGCACCTCGTTTATAAACTTTTCTATACACTCATTAATTTTATCAAACTTGATATATAATATACTATTTCCGAAAATAGTATTTCGTACTATAGTATATATGCCACTAAAAAAATTATTGTAATAATTGTAAATTTTACTTAATAAAATACTATTATAATAGGTCCAAATAATCTAGAATAATAATTGTAAAATTTACAATTACTTCTTTCAGAGCATTGAAATGGCAAACAAATGCATTCCTTGAGAGGTTCTTCATTTTAATTTGACAAGTATTGGATGGATATGCAAAACTTAACAAAACTCTTTCTTTAACTTGCTGAGACTATCGTTTCTATTTAATATGTATAAGCAGTTTTCGTTTTCTTTTTCTCAGTGTAGAAGATGTCTGTCCGGCCAGATCTTTAGATTTGACTCCCATTACTTTTTTATCTGAACTTGAATTTGAATAGAAGTTTACAATTTTTTTTATGATAGTCAATTGGGAAAAACCTTTTTAATTGAAATTTTCATGTATTTACAAAAACATGTCTTCTATTTTTTACTCTATAGAGTTTGTTTAATAAAACGGTTGACTTTTCGTGTGCATTGATTTGTTATTATGGCATTATTCAATCTGGCCAGCTCCGCCCAGACACTTAGAGCAGTTCGGACCGGAAGGAAGTCGGGGCCATTTTTCTTGCCAGTGCTCTGTGTATAGGATGCCGTTTCCGGTCAAACGCTCAAATGCATCCTTTTAAGCGGTCCCGGGCAAGAGAATTTAACACGTTTAAGGGAAAAAATCCTGCCGATCCTGTCTTTGTTTTATTTCTTAGTTAGTTAAGAAGGGGGAGCAAGAGTTAAATACTGTTAAGATATAAAGCTTGCTAATGGCTTCCGGGAGATTTTCATTGTTTCCACTGGAGGATAAACGGGTTTTCCGGCAAGGATAACTTAAGGATTCCAAGGATAATTGTTTACTGCACTTAATCGCGTTAATAAAAAACAATAGGGTTGGGACATGACATTTTTTATGGCATACTTTGAATCTACACATACGAGTTTGTAATTATTTATTTTTTCCTACAATTCTCAAACACTTCGACGACCTTGGACGTGACGCCACAATACTATTGGTGCAACAGTCATGTCAAGACTTACGAATGAAGTAGGCATATGCAAAAGTAAAAATACGTATAGATTTGGCCGCGACTATACAAAATTCGTAAGTCTTGACACATTTGACACATTCATACGTAAGTCTTAAGTCATTTTTGTCTTGAGTAATTTTTGTCGAAAAAAGGTTTTTTAATAGAATTTATTTTTTAACGTTGGCAATCATTGCTGTCAACCCTAAGGATTAGAGTGTGGGTGGTTATAGAGCGTGGAAACGACTATGATTTCATTTTTTAAATGTGATTGTATCAAGTTTCAATTTTTCATTGTACCAGTTCACATCCGGAGTTTGGGCAATAAAACTCGGGTGAATATATGAAAAGGGAAATATTTAACACTACATTTAACACTTTATCGTGCTAAACTGAATCATTGACAAAGAACAAAGGCGGTGAATATTTTTAATCCCGGCGCATCCACCATTATTGAAATCTACTATTTTTTAATATACAGTGTGCCCCGGATCGGGTTTCCAATTAAAAAAACTTTTTTATTATGCGTTTCACAAAAAACATTCCTCATAAAAACTGCTGCTTTTAAAAAAAAACAAGATTTACATAAAAAAGTGTTAATCAAATTACGAAAAAAAGCATTCTTTATAAAAAGTGTATTTCCACAAAAAAATTGAAATCAAATGTACAGGGTGCTCAGAAATTAGGAAAATATACTATATAAGTTTGACCTATGTACACTTTTATTGTGTTTAGATTTTTCATAATTAAGTAGATATTACAGCTCAGGTTCCAGATTTTTAACCTCCACTAATTATTTTTTACAATGTTTTAAAAGTCTAAAAACTATCCTCCGTGACTGTTACTCTTTCTAGGTTAACCTATATGTTTTCAAATATCTGAGGTAGTAAAAGCATACTAAAAATATCAGTTCACTAAGTAAATTAAACACATCCAAAGTAATCGAATTAAATATAAAATATTATTAAAAATTAAAAGAAATAATTTTTATAACCATTTTTGTAGGTGTTACAAAAATTGATTCTATCCTCCATGAATCTGTTTTTGCTTTAAATTTTATGCAACGGATGGCGCTTTAATCATTTTAAATAAGCAAAAACCTCTGTTTACGACATTATAGATGCATGTGATTCCTGAAGGTCAGTTAGAATTTATATGCAGATGAGAGTGTTGCTGTTTTATAATTAAGTTCATTAATTTGCTATTTAAAAACGTACATTATGTACAATTGTATTATTAAGGTGTCAAAAGATACAATAACTCATTTCAAATATACCAATAAATACCAATAAAAAATAATCATTTTCACTTGGGGGACATCTCAATATATTCACCCATATATACATACGTATATATTTATAGTATACTTTTTTTTAAGTATTTTAATGTTTTTTGAGCACCCTGTACATTTGATTTCAATTTTTTTATGAGAATCTCATTTTTTAAACAAGCAAGAGTTTACCTTTAAAGATTTTTTTTCGTAAAACGCACATTAACATAGAATTATAAGATCAAGATAGTTTAGGACATTTTTGATAGATTCAAGACATTTTAATGATCGTTTTAGAAAGTATTATGACATTTATAAAACAAAAATATGTGATATTGATTTTAAAGAGTTAAAATAAAACAATTTAATGAACAGCTGATTTCTTATCAATAATTAAAGGAAAAATAAGGAAAACAATTATAAATTGTAAAAATGTAGAAAATCGAAGTAAAAACAACATAAAATTTTATTGAATTAAAATGATTATAAATTTAATTGAAATAATATAATACAATATTTATTATAATAAAAACAAGATTAAAAACATAAAATCCGTAATCAAATATTTTAAACCATCATTTTTGTAAAAAAATTATGTATTTGTATGCCTAATTAATAATGGTTTGATTAAAAATTTGAAAAAATATGGAAATTTTAAAAAAATTTAAATTTTGAAAAATTTAAAATTTACAAAAACTTTTTATTTAACAAATCTTAAAAATGTTGGAAAATTTAACTACTTTAAATTTTTTTTAAATATAATAAAAAAATACAATTTATAATGGTTTGATAAAAAATATGTTAATTTTAAAAAATTTAAAATTTTAAAAATTTTAAAATTTACAAAAACTTCTTATTTAAAAAATCTTAAAATGTTTGTATAATTTAAAAGTTTTGGTAATTCAAACAATTTTTTTTAAATTTAAACCACAGTGCAAAAATTTTTGAAAATTTACAATAAATTTTAAAAAATTAAAAATTCTGAAAACTTGGATAATTAAAAAAAATGGAAATTTGTTTACTTTTTTTTAAATTTACAGTGGGAATTTGTATTACAATTTATACTGCTGTGTAAATTTTTCCTACCATTTTTTAAATTTATCCTGCAGTGCGAACAAAAATTGGAAATTTGTCACACGTTTTTAATAATTACTGTGTGAATTTGTATTAAATTTTTTTAAATTTATCCTACTATGTACAGGGTGATCCCCTATAATGTCGCCCCCCTTTAACTTTTTTATTTTAAGTGTCCCAAAAAAATTAAAAGTGTGGTTATGTAGGAACTAAAAAATACTTTTTTTCTACGTATAAAGAAAATTGGAAAATTGATCAGTATACAGGGAAAAACAAAAAGTTAATTTTTTTTCAATGGATCACCCTATTTATGAATTTATTTTTCGATTCCTTGTAAAATTCTAAGCATATTTCATATATCATACCATATACCTAAATTCAACGGTTTCTGAAATATTTAAATTATTTTTAAGATAATAAGTTGAAATAGTTTGTCTTTCTCTGTCTGAGTACGCCATTTTTACTTATTTAACAACACTTATTGACATAATGTCACTATAGTAATTTATTTTCAATAAAAATTTTGGTATACTGAGGCTTCTTGATTTTTAACAGTTTAAAAAAACATTTAATGATGACATTTCGAATGCGAATATTTCAGAAACGGTTGAATTTAGGTATATGGTTTGTATATAAATTATGCTCAGAATTTTACAAGGAATCGAAAAATAAATTCAAATTTAGGGTGATCCATTGAAAAAAAAAAACTTTTTGTTTTTCCCTGTATACTGATCAATTTTCCAATTTTCTTTATACGTAGAAAAAAAGTATTTTTCAGTTCCTACATAACCACACTTTTAAATTTTTTGGGACAGTTAAAATAAAAAAGTTAAAGGGGGCGACATTATAGGGGATCACCCTGTACATTTTTCCTACTATTTTATAAATTTATCTTCCTGTGCGAAAAAAAATTTGGAAATTTGTCCCACTTTTTTATAATTATTGTGTAAATTTGCATTACATTTTTTTAAATTAATCCTACAGTGTAAATTTTTCCTACCATTTTTTTAATTTATCCTACTGTGCGAAAAAAATTGGAAATTTGTCCCTTAAAAAATTACTGAATTTGTATTAAATTTTTTTAAATTAATGCAAATTTATGTGAGGGCAGTTTTCAATTATCCAATTTTGTTTGAATTTGGGGAGTTTTCAATTACTTGTGACGTCAATCTCGCCTGTTCAAAAATAAAAAAATAAACTTACCGGTGATGTTTTGCCCTTCACCTGTCTGGCCTTTAAAGTCTGCAAATGATTTGGCAAACTAGATTCAGGAACACCATTTCTCTGTGGAGTTTTCATCTCCTTATTTGTAACGATATTTTTGTTCGGCAAATCAATCCTACGCATTTTTTCCATCTCAATCTCCCGCGCCACCAACTGCTTGTTGGGATAGGAAAGCTCCCTGACGTCATTTTTGCTGGACCTATCAAAAATTACTATATCGCCTATATTCGGCTCCAACTTGTACACGTAAGTTCCTTCAGTCGTTCTCTCTTGAACGTAGTTCAGGTTATAATCGATCATGATGCTAACCAACTTGAGAAGTTCGTTTTTTTCTTCCGCCGTGTATAAATGGAGACTCACAGGTCTAAAAGTTGGCACTATGATTCTTAACAGTAACGGAAATATATCCAAAGTTAAAGATATTTTTTGACAGTACGCCCTCACACTTGTTGTCATCCCTTTCATGACTTCCTTCACTACAGCTCTTTGTCTTTCTGTCTTCAACTTTGCCTGAAAATAAAATAAAAATCTTGTATTATAATGGAGATGCCAAATAAAAATAAAAATGTCTAAGTAGTAGTGAAATCAAACACCCTGTATAATCTATTCTAGAAGTAAATGATGGTATTAAATAAAAAGGATTGTATATGAGTCATTCCAAATAAAAACACCAAATAAGGTGCGCTGTTTAATTTTATATTTTGATAAAAAAAAATTGAGGATGATCTTTTAGGTATCAAATATGAAAATCCGTTGCCGTTTTAATTTTTGGATTCTTTACTTTTAATCGGCACCCTTTAGAAATCTGAAATCGTGTCAATTTCTTACTCTCTTATAGTTGGCCAGAACTTTTTTCTGTGACAAATATTGAAATGATTTTAATTTTGTTTTACTGTTCAGTAAGTGTGTTTTCGATATAAATTATTATTATCCAATTAGTTAATCTCATAAAAGAATGGTAAACCAGTAAAGATTCATGATAATTTGCCAATTTTTGTAATTTTTGTCTGATTCCTGTGCCTATTCTACTAAATCTAGAAAGTTATTTTTTTCAGTACTTATACAATAGAAAACGTAACTATTATTTTAAGACTATCATTATCTTTATTAAAAAAATTATTGAAACTTGATAATTCTTAAAATTAGTCAATTTTGCCCTTAGAAATCATTATGTTGTGGAAAAAATAAAAATCTGAAACTTTCAGGAAATGTAGTCCCCACCTTCATCTTTTCAGTCCAGTTAGTCTTGTTTTTTTATTTTTATTCCTTTAAAAGATATATTAATTTTATTAATGCCCGTTTACTAGCGATATTGTTAGTTTTATTTATAATTTAAAATTTAGATTGGTAAATTTTGTAGGTATATAAGCAGTTTTTTGTCGGTTTCTTTCAAAATTTAAACCAAGTTAGTCTTGTTCTATTATTTTGATCCCTTTAGTAAGGCACTGAATAGTTAAAAGTTATATGTATGTATTTTAAATGTTAGTGTTGGAAAAAAATTTACACAATCTGTAAATACTTCTTTAAATTTTAGTAGCTAACTGGTTAAAATAAAACATGTTATAATAAAGGGGTTTATTTAGAATATTTTTTGGTTTTTGTTTATTTTTAACAATTTAAAACTTCTCAGAACTTGAATATTTTCTATGAGAAAGAGGTACAAAATTATGATATGTTCTTGCATTTTTAATTGCAATTAAATTCATGAATCTCGAACACTCCGCATTAAAAAAATTATTATATCTTTTACATGGATAAAAATAACAAAACAAGACTGAAAAGATGAAGGTGGGGACTACATTTCCTGAAAGTTTCAGATTTTTTTAGTTTTTCCTCAACATAATGATTTCTGAGGGCAAAATTGACTAATTTTGAAAATTATCAAGTTTCAATAATTTTTTTAATAAAGAAAATAATAGTTACGTTTTCTATTGAATTGATTTAGCAAATTATTACAAATCTTTAGTGGTTTACCATTCTTTTATGAGATGAACTAATTAAATAATAAAAATTAATATTGAAAACATACTTACTAGGCAGTAAAATAAAATTACAATCTTTTCAATAATTGCCACAGAAAAAAAGTTTTAGCCTCTTATAAGAGAGTAAGAAAATGATGACGATTTCAGGTTTCTAAAGGGTGCCGATTAAAAATAAAGCAACTTAAAATTAAAACGGTAACGGTTTTTCATATATGTTACCTAAAAGTTCATCCTCAAATTTTTTCATTAAAATAAAAAATCATGCAGCGCACTTTTAAATTCATTTTTGGTGTTTTCATTTGGATTGACTCATATGGCTTTTGTGGATTTTTATTAATTATAACAACATTTTTGAAACTCCATTATCTCGTGGTGCAGAATCCAGTGTCAGCTCCAATTTGTTGTAGGCAAAACAAGGTGCAACAGTTGCCCATGGAACCGTCCATTTTGCAGTTGGCCCCATCGGACAAGCACTGGGCCTGGACGGCGTCGAAGGCCATGGCGAGGGCCAAAAAAGCCACGAAGAATAAGGCGAAGTATTTCATTTTTGTGGTTTTGTTGGCTGGAAGTTAATTGAAAATGTTGTTTTGGAATGTGGAAATTTGAGTTGACTTACCGGCGAATGTGTCAGGATGTAACTGATGCTGGTGTTGGGATTTATACGGGTTTTTATAGTAAATATTAAAGCGAGTAAACAGATGTTTGCTAGTATTTTACAATGAAATCGTTTCGTGGTATTTTGTAATGATATAATTACGATGACTGACATAAACATAATTTCTTACTAAAATATCGGGAATTTAATATTTAATTATTCATTTTTGTATTATACTCCCATATTTTTTTAGTGATTTTTATGTTCAATTAATTGTCTCAAGAAATTACAAAAAACATTGACTTCATCGTACAATAAAGTGTTGTTTTAATTGCTACGAACTTGGGATTTACCCAGACCTCAGAATTGCTTGCAGTTACAAAATTATATATTTTTTATTTAAACCAACACCGATAAAGTTAAAATTAGATCATTATTGTCACACTGCTTCGCTATATAAACCGGCATCAACTCAAGACCACTATCAGTTCCCTTCTGACAAATCAACCGGTAAGTTAACTTACATAATAACATTGCAAAACAACATTTTCAATTAACTTCCAGCCAACAAAACCACAAAAATGAAATACTTCGCCTTATTCTTCGTGGCTTTTCTGGCCCTCGCCATGGCCTTCGACGCAGTCCAGGCCCAGTGCCTTTCCGATGGGGCCACCTGCAAAATGGACGGTTCCATGGGAAACTGTTGCACCACTTTCTGTCTCCAACAAATTGGAGCCGACACTGGAATCTGCACCACAAGATCCTAGATTGTTGCTCTTAGTTTTTGACCATGTTTTGTTATTTTAAGGGTTTGAACCACCCAAATAAGTTCGTCTTTATAATTAATAAAAAACCTTAGTTAAATTATTTCAGGCTTTTTATTTCGTTTGTTTTTAAACATTGTCGTATTTCCATTTTTTATTTAGAATAAAATTATAGAGGATTTTATAAAAATGGTTATTCTTAAAAACTGCTATATAAGTGTTTAAAAATCCTAGCAAATATCAAAAAAATCATGGGTAAACAAAAAAAAAACAAAAATAACCCAAGTCTTAAGTTTATTTAAAAAAAAATAAAGAAACGCCTAAAATTACGGTATTTTAGAATTAACATTAAAATATCATGAAAAATTAAAAGAAACAAATTATGAAATTGAACTTATTAAAAAAAGTATATTATTTTCATAAAACACAATATTTCAAAAATAATTGATTTGTATTCGAAGAGATAAAAACAATCAAAAAATTAACATTGACATTGTCTTGAAGACCCGGTGTATTTCAACAAAAAAACTCCAATTAAATGTCTCAAAATATACTGGGTGTTATTTTAGACAGCTTGTGCTATTTTTGATGTTTGAAATTTTTGTTTATAGACGTTTTTTAGTATTGGATTACTTTATACAGTTTTAAGTCCATTTTATGCTCTAAGACAATTTGGGATACTTAAGACAGCTTAGACATTTTTAGAAAGACAACTTAGTAAATTCTTGACAGTTTTTAAAGTTTAGGACAATTAGACAGTTTTATAAATTTTCGGGATATTTTAAACAGTTTTGATACCTTTGAAGACATTTGTGAATTATTTTAGTCACACGGATTAAAGTAAATATTTAAATTGAGTACTTATTGCTATACTTTCGGAGAAGTTACTTAACACTTAAGCACTGATTACTTCTTTTGTAAACCCAGAATTTATTTTGTAATATTAATAATAAAATTCGGTTGGGTATTGATTGTTAAAATATTAATCATAAATATTAAGGATTAATATTTTATTTTACAGTCACGTGTCATATATAAGTTGACAATTTATAACTTTTTTAATTTAGAATACATTGCAATATTAATTTTAAGTTATATTAAAACTGTTCACAATATATTAATAAATCAAGTCAATACCAATAGTTTGGGAATGATTACCAAACACTATTGGAAGCAACTCGCCAATTTTATTTTTTTTATGTAGTCGGCTATGCATTTATGTTTTATGTCATTATGCTTTATGCCATTCTCGCGGTATTTTATTTCTTAAATTGTGCATTCGTTGGTTATTGTATAATCCTTTTAAATTAATTAATTATTTCTATTGAACTCTTGCTTCATGTACTTGTAATAAAAATAATATTAACCTTAAATCTAATTTATTCACACCTACTCTTTGTTTTTGTTGTTGTTTTTGTTTGTCATACTTTTCTAGTAATTTTAAGTTTGAACGTTGGCACCCCGAAATCACCGCATGAGTGGAAGACACATTTACAACGTTTTTGTATTTTTTTCAGTTAGTTTTGTAATTACTACTTTCCAGTCAAGGAATGGTTGCCAAACAGCACACGTATGCAAATATATGAAACACAAAAGCGCTCACTCCTAAAATATCAAAGTTGTCCCCAATTCAGTGGATTTTTAGTAACCATTCTCAAAACAGTCCTCTCCGTGCTGAATAGATATTTTTGAAAATACGACTTTAGGACATTGTTGATTGTTTAAAAGAATTTAGGACATTTTGGGATTGTTTAGGACAATTTAAATTTTTTTGTTTTTTAGATGTTTTTAAGACGGTTTATTTTGACGTATAAACTTTGAATATCTAAATATCTAAAAATATACTGGGTGTTCGATTCAAAAAGTTTTTTTACTAATTTTAAACTCAACATAATTTACCTATATCAGCTATAGTTTTTTCTATAGTATACATTTTTAATTTGTAAGGTAAAAAATTGGCAAATTAAAAGCTTTATATAGTTTTACTAAGGTTTTTTATTAACTAAAACAGACATTCAAACAAAAACAAACTTATCAAGGCGGTTTAAATCATTGAAGCAACGGAACATGGTCAAAAACTAGCAGCAGAAATCTAGGATCTCGTAGTGCAGATTCCAGTGCTGGCTCCAACTTGTTGGAGACAGAAAGTGGTGCAACAGTTGCCCATGG